TCATCTTTACCTTTTAAATTATTATATATTGGTATTTCACTAAAAAACAATTAGATCTGACAGATAAGTTTTTTTTTTATTAAACTAAGTGTTTGAAACTTGAGCCATTAATATTGATCAATATGTTATTAAATCCTGCTCACTTGCATTGTTAACATACACTTATTAAACTTTTGAGACATTTGTGTCATTTTTATGTTTCATTTCAGAACACTATGGCTATGTCTGTAAATCTAGTAGTGCCGGTTGACCTCCTCGCTATGGGCCAGCTTGCTGTGAGTGGGAGCCCATGTCGGCTGGTCCTAAAAAGATTTAGCTAACCTGAGCCTGTCAAGGGTGGATTGGCGGGTTATGGGCTGGAGAAAAAAAATACACATCAAAATGAGCTCACACTATTTCAACCCAACCTTGCTGCTTTTGGCGGGTTAACCCAGTTGGACTTACGAGCTCAATTCATATTACCACACCACATCTATACGTGTGTGAATGATAATTGCATGCAATACCGGAAAACCCGTCATATTAATATACTTTTTCTTTTTATTTTTTTTCCAATTACATGTTGATATACTAAATTCAAATTACAAGTTTCGATAGACTAAATTCAAATTACTTTTATACCTTCGTTGAATTATATAATTATATTAATCCCAAAACTCGCAAATATAGAAGTATAATCTATTTCACATGATTGTTCTCTTAATATAAAAATAATAGATTAAAAAAAATTGAAAAAATAAATATAAAATCAAGTACTTAAGATAAAATAGAGCTATGTTTCTAATTATGAGCAGCACATTAAATTTTTTATTAAGAGTAATTAAATAATAAAGTTATAAAAAGCTTTAAGAAAAAGAGGCCTGCCCAAATGGCTCATGGGCTCGAATTGACGGGTTGAGTCGTTGGGTTTTGGGTTCAGTCTATGTTGTTAGCCCTACTTCAATTAATGTCAATTCATCAATTGAACTCGCTCGGAACTTCTGAGCCTCAACTTCTTATGATCGAGTCTTCATACCAAGATTGACCCTTAAATATGATAATACTCTTTTAGTCTTTAATATAAGATTCATTTAACTAATTTGATTAGATTAAGAAAGTTAGGTAAGTTAGTTAATTATAAGACATGTGACACATTTTTCTTAAAATACCATAATCATCTTTCTTAATACCCTTCTCTCTTTTACTTGATTATGGTTGAAGGAGTATCTATAGGGGTAATTTAGAGAAAATGGATAAATATAAGAAATGGGTCTTATATTTATGACCAAAACTAACTCAAGAATTGGGTCATATATTAAAAATTAGAGGAGTAGTACGTACCCAGTACGGACACGGGAATACGCACACGTTAACATCTATTTATTCTAACTGTTAACGATTAAGGAACATTTCCTGGATCATGTGGTGCAAAATCTAATTTTATATGAAAACAATAAGATTATTATATGTTCGGAGCGAAATACTAATAATAATTGCTGTGATGTATTCATTACGTTTATTTTAAATTTCAAGTTTAATTTATTTGATTCTATATAGATTTGGATTTATTACGAATTTAATTTAATACAGTTTGTTTAATCTCAGCGTGAAATATAAAATATAATACGCTAAAATGTTTAGATATAATATAAATATTTACATGACAGAAGAATGAATTTTCATTACTATATCAAATCATTATCTTAACAGTTAATTAAATATAAAAACAAAACAAATGATATCTTAAAATTGCAATATATACGCATTATTTTATATTTGTTTGGATGGAATAGATTATAAGATTGGGATTTTTGCGTGGGGATGACTAATGGAGAGCAGAAAAATAGTTGCAAATTGATAAAGAACAAAGATAGATATGTGAGTGTATCTGATGATTGGAAGTAACAGAGAATAAGAAAAGGAAAGGCTATTGTGTACGAGCTGCCAAATAAAGGTACAAAATTTTTATTAACGACGTAATTTTCTTACTTCATAGAGACTTGCTCTCTCCGGTCTTAAATATAAGACTTATTTTGTAGTATAATTTACACCACAAAAGGGTTTTATATTTAGGACTAGAAGAGTACATATCTTTTCTGGCTTTCTCTATGATATTATAAGCATCAAATTAATAAACGTACGAGCAGGTAGAATTATACCCCTATCTAAATATTTTTTAAGTGCATCATATTTTATATTTTGCGCTGACATTATATAAATTGTATTAAACTATACATCTAGAGTCATAATGAAATCAAAATCAAAATTATTAATATTTCAATTAAATATTTTTTAAGTTTATCATATTTTATTATTGTTTTGTTATTTTGCACCCATGTTATACACAAAATATTCCCTAACTATTATCAATTGAGAATAAATAGATGCTCACACACACACACACACACTCCAGAGACCATTCTGATTAAGTATTGTACATGTTATAGTTATTTATAACCGTAATAGGCGTATCATACTGGGTACTTACTGTTACCTTGTCCAAGGATTGATCCTCGTATAAATACCGTCACATGGAGTTGGGACCCTCATAGATTCTTGGCAAGTTCATCGATGAATTCACATCCATTGAAGGAATTCAAAATCCATAATAGCCATTATTGTCATATATGATTTGGTTTCTTTGAAAGCAAGAACTGGAAGATGCAAATTAAATGCATGTGCCTGCAGTTCATGTTAAAGTTGATTTGTCTTTTGTTTCTTTGGCAATAACTTTTGGTCATTCTAAATTCCAAATATCGCATGCAATTATCATTCACACAAATGACACGGCTCTGAAATGAAACAGAAAAATGGCACAAAAATTCTCAAAAAGTTTGATAGATACATTTTAACAATGCAAATTAGCATGTATTAATAGTTACCTGTAGGATCTGATATTGAAACATCTAATGAGGTAACAATTTTTTCTAGTGAAATGCCCACAAAAAATAATTTAAACACAAAAAACTGGTCAAAAAATCCTCCCACATCGTAGTCCAATAACACCATCCCTTGGCCTACTTATTCATTGATCATCCTATTTATTGGGTCTTGTATCAGCAGTTATTCTTCTTGGTCTCCTAGAATTTGACTTTTGTCTCACCAAGGAAACTTCGCAACAGGTAACTTAAAATTAAATTGATATATGCTTACTGGGGAAATAAAAAGGAAAGACAAATTAAACCAAGCATCAGAAACACATCAACTAACTGTTATCGACAGTTGAAGAATGAAGACACGGGCTATTAGTTCTGAGTCTTACCTCTGGGCAGAGACCGGTGAGCTCATGAACACAACGAATAAAGCAGACTTTGATGGAGATTTCCAGAAGAGGGTTGAAAAGTTGGAAGAAGATCTCAGAAGATCTCAGCAACTTCAGGATCTCATCGTCTATTTATTTGTTGAGATCTTCTTCCAACTTTTCAACCCCTTCTGAGGGCGCAGAAGTGTCGATGAAGCTCCATGAACTGACTTTTCCATTCTTTACATATACCTTCGCGGCAAACACACAACGATGACGAATAAAGGAGAAAGATTGAAGCAGTGAGGGAAATAAGGTTGATGATGAACCAAATGGCTGGGGGCTCACCTTTATGTTGTGAAAGAATGCTTATTTGGAGCTCAAAATGAAGCAGAGGTTGAAGAGATTCGGACAGATAGAGAAATTTTATTAAAATAGATACAAAAAAATGTGCAGATAAATGTCTCCTTGCATTTATATGTACTCTGTAGTATATGGTGGAATTTGATTTTACTTAGATCAGATTCCAGTGACAAATTTTTTTTTTGGACTAAGATTTATTTCACAAATTTGTAATCTGGGTATGTGCTAAGTATTAGTCATGTCATCTGTTTCTAGTATTGTTTCTCTTACAAATTATTAAATTATGAGGACTAATGTCAATGAAATCAAAATAATATTTTATTTTTACTTCATTTTTAAATTATTAAGATTAATACAAAATGTATTTTAACCATTTGCATTTATAGGGGAAGCAACTTTTGCAAGGACGCGGCGGCCTTCACAGGTTACGCATAGGGTAAGAAGACCTAATGGGAAAGTTCCCAATAGAGAATTTATATACACCTACTCTCATTTATTATAAAATGTAATGTGTAGATTATACACACACACATAGTAAATATATAATCTGTTAATAGAAAATTTTATTCTTTCATTTCAATTAGACAATTCAAATCAATATAAGTGACAAGGGGGTTGACGATGATGATAGAAATATAAATTGATATAAAATATAAAATTTACAAGAAAAGAATCATATTATTTTTGAAATTCCAAATCTCAAAATGGTCATACCATTTTTCAAAATTCCAAATGTGCATGTTGGGAGCATCAGGGATCATCCCACCACCCCTCGAATCCCAAAAGGTTTGGTGACCATTGAGCCACCAAACCTAATTTATTTTTATAATACAACATAAAATATACTACCTCTGATATTTAATATAAGAACTTGTTTGACTTTTATTTTAGTTCTAAATATAAGACCTCAATCCATTTTGTCTCTCATATTTATTCTTTTTTTTTTTCCTGAGATAGTTCTTGTAATAATGGTAGTTCTAGCCAATATACTTTATTAGTAAGGATATTTCAGGAAAGACAACACCTACTTATATTACAAATAACTAATTTAACTAATTTTCTTAATTTACTCAAATTAGTTAACTAGCTCTTATATTAATGACCGAAAGTAGTACTTTGCTTGCCCTTAATATAAAATATAATTAACTAATTTGATTAGATTAAGGACGTTAGTTAAATTAGTTAATATGATATATTTTTTTAAACACTCTAATCGTCTTACTTAATTCCCTCTTTCTCTCTTCTACTTTTTTTTTTTTAGCAAAACAAAGTACATATTATTAAAACGCAAATAAATATTACACTCACTAATAGACTAGCAAAAGAAAGCAAAGAAAGCGGTAAAACCTAAAGTACAACCTACAGACAAAGAAGGGAATCCTAAGTACAACCTATAACCAAGCAAGGAAACTAAGACTTAACCTACACCCTTCTTAGTGTCAGCAGAAATGTTACGGCAAGTAAGGTCTTGAAGTAAAATCCGGTTCAGAGGAGGTGGTGGCTTATCAAGCCATCCTTGCGGTACCATTCTCCTCATAGCTTGTGCTGCTAAAAAGTCTGCAGCACTATTGCCCCCACGAGCTACCAAGGCTATTGACCATCTGTCCGTCTTATCCCCTAACTCTAAACACTCCTGCATCATTTCCACACACTTCCAATCGCATCCATCCAAGCTCCTACTTCTTACTCTTCTATACAGTTCCAAACAGTCCGTCTCAATTATCACCTCTCGATCACAAAATATATCTTTCATTTTCAAAGCTTCAAGTAAGGCTCTACATTCAGACATGAAAGCAGACCTTGCATCAATAATCATACCAAGGCCGCCCAAGTATCTGCCATTACTGTCTCTTCCTATCACCCCAATACCAGCAATCATGTCTTTACTACAGAAGGCCCCATCTATGTTAATTTTCACCACCCCTTCTGCTGGTCTCTCCCAAGCCAAAGATCTCTCCACCACTGCAACTGGCATCTTCCTTCTCTCCCTCTTCTTGAAACAGCCCCAATACTCATTAACCAATCTGATACCCTGAGATAAGCAGCCCCCAGCATCTACTTCTTTTCCTTCAAACACACTACAGCATCTGGCCTTCCAGACCCCCAACACAAGGCAGCAAAAAATGATATATTATAATCATCAATCTCATTCTTCTTTGACAACCAGCTTTCCAGCCACCTATCCAATCTTCCCATATTCTTCTCATCAAATCTCAAAGCTAGAGGGGAACTGAACCAGCATAACTTAGCCCAGGGACACAAAAAAAGTGCATGTTCGACCGTCTCCACATACACTTTGCAAATGCTGCATATAGGATCTCTTACATTTTCTCTTAAAGAGAGCTTCTTTTGTCGCCAAAGCATTGCTAACTGCTCTCCACATGAACTGATTGACTTTTGGAGGCACCTTCACTTTCCAAATACTGTTCCAAACCTTCTTGGACATAGTATAGGAGCTACTGGGGGCTTCCCTTTCTTCCTTTGCTTCCTGAAGTCTGGCAATTTTGTAACCTCTCTTGACCGAATATATTCCATCTCTGCTCCCCAACCAAGTATACTTATCTTCCCCCTCAACCACTGGAATTTTCACCTTTAGAATAGCCACTCGGTCTTCCTCATCCAATAAGTCTTCAAACCCATCAAAGTTCCAATTCCTATTGGAAATAATGTCTTTTACCTTCAGCTTTTTCATTTCCTCAGTCAGATTTCTTTGCTTAAGACAGAAACCTTCCTCCTCGGTCAACCATTTTCCTTCAAACAGACTTATCTTATCTCCTTTATTAACTCTCCAAATTAGATCCCTTTGCAGCAACTCCCTTCCTTCCAGAATGCTCGACCAACCCCAAGAGGCTTTACTACCCTTTTTAGCTTGCAAAAAATCAGCATTTGGAAAATATAAGCCTTTGAGGATCCTGCTCCACATCTCATCAGGATTCTGACAAAGCCGCCATGCAGTCTTTGCTAATAAGGCTTTATTCATCTTCATAAAATCTCTAAATCCCATACCACCTTCCCCCTTATCCCTACACATAGTTTTCCAAGACCTCCAGTGAATTCTTCCTTCCCCATTCTTTTGTCCCCACCAAAAGCCAAAAATCATCTGATTAAGCTCTTTACAGGTCTTTTTGGGAAAACTAAAGCAAGACATAGGGTAAATTGGTATTGCATTCGCTACTGCTTTGATCATGACCTCCCTTCCAGCAAAAGTCAACAATTTCTGCTTCCATCCTTGTAGCTTAAGGCTTAGTTTGTTCTTCACAAAAGTCAAAGCCTCAGACTTAGACTTACCCCACAAGACAGGAAGGCCAAGATACTTTCCAGGTTCAGCTGTATCCATAATTCCCATAATCTCAAACACCTCCTGCTTCACCTCTTCTACTGTATTCTTTGAGAAGAAGATACATGACTTGTCCAAATTCACTGATTGGCCCGATGCTTTGCAATAGCTATCCAGAATTTCCCTTAAGATATCACAATTCCTTCTTTTAGCATTGACAAAAAACACCGAGTCATCTGCAAAGAAGCAATGAGATAGTATAGGAAATTTGTTAGCCAGCCTGATTCCTTTCAGTTTCCCATTATCAACATAAGCATCAACCATGGCAGACAGAACATCAGAAGCAATTATGAAGAGAAAAGGTGAAAGTGGATCCCCTTGGCGTACCCCTCTTTCCATATTCAAATCAGCAATCTTGTGTCCTCCTACTACCAAACTCAATTGAACTGATCTCACACATTCCATAATCCAAGACAACCACCTTTCTCCGAAGCCCATCTCCCTCATAACCGCCTCAATGAAGTCCCATTCAAGCCTATCATAGGTTTTATTCATATCGATCTTTACAGCCATTTCAAACTTCCTTCCCTTTTTTTTATTTTTCAAATAATGGTAAGCCTCATGAGCTACCAGAATATTGTCTTGTATAAGCCTCCCAGCAATAAAAGCTCTTTGATTTCCTGATATAATTCTAGCCAGCAACTGTCTCATTCTGTTTGCCAGAATCTTGGAAATGACTTTATAAGCAAAGTTGCAAAGACCAATGGTCTATACTGTCCCACATTCTCAGCATTATCTACTTTGGGAATTAGTACCACATTAGTCTTGTTAATAGCTGCTAGCTTTGCATTATTATTAAAGAAATCAAAGACCATCTCCCCTACCTCCTTACTAACTTCTGACCAAGCCGACTGATAAAACATGCCAGAGTAACCATCTGGTCCAGGGGCTTTAGATCCCCCAAGTTGGAATACCGCCATTTTAACCTCCTCCATTGTCACAAGTTTCTCAAGCTGCACATTATCTTCTATAGTTACTTGTTTCTTAACAAATTTCAGAACCTTCTCTAAATCCCTGCATCCCCCCGAGGCAAACAAAGTGCTATAGTACTTGGTAAAAGCACTATTAATCTCTTCCTCCTTCTCCAGCCACGTGTTCCCCTCTCCTCTCAATTTAATCACTTTGTTTCTTGTACGCCTCTGGATCGTGCTAGAGTGAAAGAAACGTGTATTCCTGTCACCAGCTTCCAGCCACTTTATCCTCGATCTCTGCCACCAATACACCTCCTCCTATCCCAAGCTTCTTCCATTTTCATTATTATTTCTTCAATTTTCAATTTCTTCTCAGCAATCAAAAGTCCACTTCTGCAGATACTCAATTCCTTGTTTAACTTGTCGATGGAAGTCCTTGCATTTGGAAAGGTCTGCTTACCCCATTTCAGTAAAGCATCTTTACAATTTTCCAGTCTGTGTATAAACTCCTCTACTTTATTCCCTTCCATTTCCACCACTTTCTGCCATCCTTCCCTTAGTACTTTCAGAAAATCTTCATGTTCAATCCAGAATGCTTCAAACCTGAAAGCTTTAGGGACCCTTGAATGCTTATATTCACATTCAACACTAAGCATATGGTGATCAGATCCCACAGGTTCGATATGGATGACTAGTGCATTCTGAAATTTCTCTCTGAATTCCACATTTGCTGTAGCCCTGTCTATTCTTTCTTTCACATGAGCCTCCCCCAATCTTTTATTATTCCAGGTGTAAGGCACCCCATTGAAATTCAGGTCAATCAACCCACAATCAGATAGCATTCTCTGAAAATTTAATGTTCTTCTCAGATCAATAGGTCTGCTGCCAAACTTTTCAAAACAAGAGACCATATCATTAAAGTCTCCCACGCACAGCCAAGATCCTGTTACTCCCCCTGCAATACGTCTCAAGTCTTCCCACACCTTCTCCTTATCTTCATCTCGAGGGGCACCATAAACATACGTAACAAAGTCAGGGACATCTATCACTGTGGAGTTCATGCTTGTGTGAATTATATTGCGTGAACTATGTACGTTTATCACAACTTCTTTTTTCCACCATAAAGCCATCCCACCACTTCTACCTACTGGTTCCACATACCATTCCTCATCCATCCCACACTTCTTTTTCACATCTTTCATTTTTCTACTCTTCATTCTTGTTTCCATAAGGAAGATAACTGAGGGCTTTCTTCTAATATTTTCTTCCCTCAGTTTTTTGACTGTCAAGGCTCTCCCAAGACCTTGACAGTTCCATGTGATGAAATTCATTGCCCCTTGGTGGCTGTTAAAGGCCAGCCACCTTCACCTTCAGCAATGACACATGATTCACTTCTGTCCTCCTCCGATGTATCTTGTACTTCTCTTCTTACCATTTCCTCCAACTTTCCCCTACCATCCTTCCCCTTCCTAGCCCTTCTTTTTAACAATCTGACACTCTTTCTGGTTATTGTTTTTTGACTCTCCTGCTTGTTCAACCCAAAATCATCAGCAGAATTGTTGAAAAATAGCCTTCTTTTCTTAATATTCAACTGCTCTACTCCTTCTTCAAGCTCTCTCTTCAGTTTGATCCTTCTTAGACCAATAGCCACTTTAGAAATAGGTGAGAGTTTGTCAAATACTACAATTGCCTTTGACAAATCCTCCTTCAGCTTGGGAGATCCATCAGTCGACATATTTATCACTTCAATTTCCTTCATACTAGAGAGGTTCCTAACATTCTCGTTGTCCACCCCTTCACTCACATCAATCTTCTTTTGTGTCTGTACATCAGAACTTCCTTCCCCTTTAGTTTTCTTTCCTTCTCTAGGATCAACCTTCATCTGTTTATCAATCTTACCACTCCTCAGGTCATCCTGCCCCTTCAAGGTTCTGTTTGCCAGTTTCTTTAACTCTTCTTCCACACTTCTTTTCACTCCATTCTTCCTAGTTATTATTGCAACAAACCATCTCAGCATCAATTCTCTTAGCAGCTTGAACACCTAACCAGCTTCCAAACTCCAAGTCACCATACTCTGGTTCCTCACTTCTTGGACAGTTTCTCTGATCATGTCCCAGCAATCCACAATGATAGCAAAAGTTTTGTAATCTCTCGTACCTGGCTTTGATCCACACAGGCTCCTTTCCTGGTCTGGTAGTCCACATACCAGACACTAGAGCCTTTTTCATATCCACCAAAACTCCTACACGCAAATAGCTACAAATCAACAAATTGCCAGACCTAGGATTCTCCACCAACATCACTTCACCTAATTCAGATCACAGGGTTATCGCGTTCTCTACATCCATTCCTTCCAGCGACAGATCATGGAATTGAATCCAAAATGGACATTTGCTGAAGTCCACTTCCTTGTAAGTCATAAACTGTTTCCATAGCTGAACGTTGAGCAGTATTCCTTGGATCGACCATGGACGCCCTTGCAAGATCCTTAAGTAATCTTCCCTATGACGGAATTCAAAAATGAATGATCGATCCTCAATTTCAATGATCTCCAAGTCCTCATGCTTCTCCAAGTTCCAGCCTTTCCTGATCATCTTGATCACCGTCGGAGCATTGAAACTCTTTACTGTCATCATTCTTCCAACAAGCGCTCCACCATATAATTGCCGATGGTGGCTCTTCTTCCAAACCAGCTCCACTTCCTTTCCTTTCCTTCCCCTCGCAACTCCGTCTCCACTACATTGTCCTTCTACTCCTACCTCCATACCTCACTAATTCCTCTCCGTCATAATGAGCGACAGATCGGACACTCTTTAGTCACCGTCGCAGTAGGTGGCGGATCTCGCACAAAGAACGACGATAACCGTCGTAACTAACTCTCACAGAGGAGTCTTTCTCTCTTCTACTTGATTGTTGCTGAAGAAATATTACTAGGATTAATTTAAAAAAATTGATATACATATTAAATATATCTTATATATAAGACCGACATCAATTCTCAAATTAAGTCCTACTTTAAGAAGTATAATAATTTTCAAAGTAAAAGGATTATGTTTGAGATGATTTACAAAACTAAGCAAAACTCCAAATGTATTTTCTATACCTTATAATTCCATTCGTGTGGGGCACGCTGCAAGTGGAGTCCACCACTGTTTCCCTTTTTTGGGTCTGTTGCTCTTTCACGTTCTTCTTCTTTTTTTTTCAAAAAAAAATGACGATTTCTAGTTTTTAAACACGACTATATGGCTGTAACAGATGCACAGTGAGCTAAGAGAAAAAGGCTATAAAAGTTAATTAGTATTCAATTAAAAAATGTTTTCCAAAAGGAAATTTAATAATCTCTGTAGTCTTTTTAACAATTAGTCACCTAAATAGGTACCTAATTAAAAATTTAGATAACATTTATTGAGATTGAATAAAATTATGAGGACCTGATAAAAATTTTGTAAAACTATAGAAGTCTGACAAAAAGAAAAAAAGCTACAAAAACTTAATTAAAAATGAGATGAACCTATAGAAATATACATATTTTCAGAGTTAGCTTGTATTACTCAAGGGTACTTGGTTTGATGGTGAAACCAACTAGATCACAAAACTGGAGGGAATATTTTTTCTTATAAAGGCTGCATATCTTTTCTGGCCTTCTCTATGATTTATTATTATAACAGAATGTAATAATGATAAAAAAACTCTTGGGAATCATTTTGCTCGCAAAGTCTCAATCTAAATTAGTTTGAATTTTTATGTTTAGAATAAAAATAAAACTCCTAATACGTTTAGGACGAGAGGGGATATTTTTTCTTATAAAGACTGCATATCTTTTCTAGCTTTCTCTATGATTTATTACAAAGAGAATCTAATAATGATCAAATTAATGAATGTGTGAGCTGATGGAACAGTCAACATTCATGAGCCTGACCCATCTCCCGTGAGAGCATTTTGCTACTCTTTCTTGAGTTATAATTTATTTAATTTTTATGGATGAATTAACTGTTAAGATAATGATTTCATATAAATATGAAAGCCCAATCTTCTGTTTCGTAAATATTTATATTATATCTAAACATTTTTAAGTCTATTATATTTTATATTTTATACTGATATTAAATAAATTGTATCAAATTAAAGTCGGAATAAAATCAAATAAACTTAAATCTAAAAGTTGTGTGTGTGTGTGTGCGCGCGCGCGCGCGCGCGCGCGTGTGTCCTAGTAATTATTAGTGTTTCGTCAGATGCCATGGTCTTTTCCCGGTGATCGGCGGGTTACCCGCACTTTCTGACGGCGATTTGAAGTTTGAACTTTGAAGGAAGTTAGTGTCCCCTTGCACTTTCCGATGGTGACTGTTATCTACACATACATTAATGTATATATATTACTTCCGATATTTAATATAATATTTCGTTTGATTTTTATTTTATTTTAAATACAAGACTTCAATCTATTTTGTCTCTTATATTTATTTATTTTTTTTCTAAAATAGTCTTTCTAATAATAGTAGTTTTAACTAATAAACTTGATTAGTAAAGATATTTTAAGAAAAATAACACCTATTTATTATAAATAACTAATTTAACTTATTTTCTTAATCTACTGAAATTAGTCAACTAGCTCTTATATTTAACATCGCATGTAGTGTGTGTGTGCATGTCATATGGACGAGAATAAGCCCGCCGGAGGTGAGAAATTTCCAGGAAATTTCGTAGAAGCAAAATTAGGATTTTTGCAGCAACGAGAGATAT